CATTGTCCTGTGCAGGACAAACACTTGGTTTACTATGCAGGACACATTGCCCTGAGCCAAGTGGTGACACCCAGGACTTCGGTCCTGACCACCTCGGTCCTCCACTCCAGTGGCCACTCCCAGCTCTGCCTGGCTCCCTTGTGGTGTCTTTGAGGAAAGCAGTCTGATAAGGATCATACANCCTGAGCCAAGTGGTGACACCCAGGACTTCGGTCCTGGCCACCTCGGTCCTCCACTCCAGTGGCCACTCCCAGTGGCTCCCTTGTGGTGTCTTTGAGGAAAGCAGTCTGATAAGGATCATACACATTATGTGACCAATGCTGTTCCTCTTTGGAGAGATGTTTGCAGGTCAGAGAGCCTGCTGGGAGAAAGCGAGAAACTTAACAATCTGCTCCGGAGAGGAGAATTTCCACCCTGAGAAATGTGTTGGAGTAGGTGCAGGTGGAGGGGAGGGGCGTTTTTCTGGTGCTCCCCTGAGCAGGTAATGTCTGGGGGTCCTGGGGAACCTTGGAGATATAGACACTAGAGGGACAAGTGAGCCTGAAGGGAGCCACCAAAGTTCCTGGTGTGACAGAGAGGTCTCCTCCGGGTTGCGTGCTAGAAGAGGGGCCCAGGTGTGTGAAGGGTCCTTGAGAGCAGGAAGGGGGCAGGAGCCTCGGGGACTCTACCTGAAGATGAAAGAGGGAGCCCAGAGTCGAGGGCGTCCCGTCCGAAGCTGGGCTTTGTTTGGATGGGTAGCTTGTGAGCCACTGTGGAAGATCAGCAATGAACCCTTAAACACAGGGCTCCTGTGCTGGTTCCTGGAACTGCGAGAAAGGGCCACTCTGGGAAGGTGAAACTGGGCTTGGGGTGCAGGGGACCCTAGGAGGTAGAATGGCTGGTGGCCAACACAAAGGAAGACAGACTTTGGAGCCCTGGCCCAGACCTGACTACGCAAGGCGGGAGGGGGTGGGGGGCCTTACCTTCCACCACAGCATCTCCTCTACCTGCCCGCAGGCAGGAGGGGCCAGGGATGCCCGGAGAAAACGCTTCCTGCACTCTGCCCCTCTAACAGCCCCCCCAGCACATAACCCTACCAGTCTGCCCCCCTCACCGGCCTCTGAGCCTCTCCTTTCTGCAGACATTGGCAGGGGAGGAAGAGTGAAGGATTCAGGGGAGGAAAGGCACTAGAAGACAGTAGGGGCCATACCACCCTGGGGTGCTATTTTACGTGGTGCCGCTCCCCACCTCTCCAGACATGGGGTGGGACAGCGACACGTGGAGAAGAGCTGTCTTTCCCCCACCCACCCAGTGAGTCATCTTCAGACACCACGTGCCCACTCAGAGGCAAATGGAAAAACACGGCCCAAGGACAGAAGCACACACGATTTGAGTGGTGGAATCCTGGGACACATCTGGCAAGGACAGGAGGCAGCTCTGACTATTTAGGCACAACTCTAGGTAACAGGAGAGGAGGGCTGAGGGCAGTGTGTGCCCTGGGTCAGGTTCAGGACTGGGGGGTGGGGTAGAGGAAGAGGCCCAGGCAGGCTGGGAGACTGGGGGATTGAGGCTGCCACCCAGGAACCAAGGAGCTGGTGCAGAGGAGGATTTTAAGGACGACTTAGGGGTCAGAGGAGGAAAGTTTGGGGTTGGGGTCCTGCCGTTTCCAGCTGTTTCTGTGCAAAGCCAGGAAGCCCTTTAGTTTGGCTCATGCCATGGCAGGTAGTCACTCTGTTCCAAGGCTTGGGACACGGTGCAAGTCAAGCTTCCTTCTAGGGTCAAGTTTCCAAAACTAAAGGCCTTCTGCCCCTGGGTTTGTGGCTTGAGCTCACCCTGGAGAGATCAAAGTGATGCCACAGGCATGGTGCGTCTTCCTGGAGGGTCAGTTTAACTTCTAGACTTAGCTGGTAACATGAATAAAATGGGAAGCACATATCGATGATGCTTATATGAGATGGTGATGATAATAATAATGACAGATACTTCTAGGGTGTTGCTTGTCTGAGGTCACACAGCAATAGCGGAGCCAGGATAAGAGCCCATGCAGTGTGGCTCCCAAACCATCCTCAATCAAGATTTATAGATCACACTCCTAAATTTAAAAGTTACATGTATAAATGGAGCTATAAATTCAACTGAAACAGCTTTAAAAATGTAATTGACTAGTGTGGCTCAGTGGTTGAGCGTCGACCCATGAACCAAGAGGCCACTGGTTCGATTCCCAGTCAGGGCACAGGCCTGGGTTGCAGGCTCGATCCCCAGTAGGGGGCGTGCAGGAGGCAGCCGATTGATGTTTCTCATCAATGGTTCTCTCTCTCTATCCCACTCACTTCCTCTCTCTCAAATCAATAAAAGCATATTAAAAAAATGTGATTGGGGTGAAGACACAGTCCATGTGAACATGCAGGATAATGGGCCAGGGACTTGTGTGTCTGGCACTGGTCAGGCCGGTCCACGACCTGAGGGGCAGGCCCTCTCACTCCTGGCTCTTGGGAAGTTCGAGACCACTTGAAGCAGGGTGGGTCTCCGACTGCTGCATGAATCAGAACCCTGCGTGCTTTCTAAATGGGTGGCCTCCTGGTTCCTCTCTTGGAACAGCTAACATTTGTTAAGCACTGCCTCTGTGCCAGACATCTTTTTATTCACTCATTTGTTTTTCCAACAATTCTAGGAGGCCCCCATTTTATAGACAAAGAGAATAAAGCGAGACAGTGAAGTTGGACCAGGTCACCAGTTAATAAATGACAGAGTCAGTATTCAAGCCCAGGTCTGGATCTCCAGGGCCAGAATTACAAACCACTGCACCCTATGGCCCTCATCCCCCAGATAATCTGATTCCGTGGGTCTGGAGTCCAGGCCTTCGGCCAGTACCCCAGGAGGTCCCTGGGCCACCCTTTGAGAGGCAACGCTCTGCGGCCGCTGTTCTCAATCTGGCTGCACTTTAGAACCACCTGAGAAGTTTCAAAACCTATTAGTGCCCTTCCCTTCCCTAAAGAGAGGCTATGTGGTCCAGAGTGGGTGCAGGTGTTGGTGGGGTGTAGGTCAGCATTTTGGGACAGTGGGTCACTGTCTTCATTTAATTGACCAACCAATCAATCACTCAACAGAAATGTATGAACACCTGCTCTGTGCCCTGTGCTGCACTGAGGTTGGAGATACAGAGGTGGGGGGGGCATGGCACATGTCCTCTAGGAGTGCAGGTGACCACCTGCCCACTGGGCAGAGCATGCCTGAAGTGTGGAGGTGGGGAGGGTGCAGGTTCTTTCTCGCCTGCTCTTCCTTGGTGAGCTCCAGAAAGAGCCAGACTCTCCAGATGTTGATGTCCTTCTGGTTTCTCCCGCTGTGAAGTCCTTGGCCCCCACCTGAGAAGACATAGTTGGCTCCAGCCCCAGAACCCAGGCTGTCAAAGCAAAAAGGGCCCCAAGAGACCCTCGGTACCTGGAGCTCTCAAATTTCAGTAAGTGGCTGACCAAAGTGCTGGGAGCTCGGAAAATGTGAAGATGCCTGGAGCGCAGCCCAAAAGTTCTGATTCCTAGATCTTGGGTGGGGTCTGAGGAATGTGCATTTTAAAAAAAAAAATATATCTTTATTGATTTCAGAGAGAGGAAAGGAGAGGGAGAGAGAGAGAAACATCAATGATGAGAGAGTCACTGACGGGCTGCCAACTGGGGATCGAGCGGCAACCCGGGCATGTGCCCTGACTGGGAATCGAACCCTGCTCGCCTGGATCCTAGGTTGACGCTCTACCGCTGAGCCACGCCCGGCCGGGCAAGAATGTGCATTTTTAATAAGCTCCCAAATGACTCTGCTACACACTCAGCAGTGGTTCTCGGGGGCTTGCATCCTCCGGGAAGTTTTAACAACACGGAAGCCCAGGCCCATCCCTGGAGAGTCTGGGCAGCGTTTTTAATAGCTCCCGGGGCAGGTGCCTGGGCCCTCCAGCTGGCCTTGGTTAGGATTTGGGCAGGTAGCCACAGGGCAGTCACGTCTTGCTACCATTAGGGCTTTGAAACAAGAGAAGATAAAAACAAAAGGCAGGAAAGACAAAAATAAAAATGACAATGAGAAGGTTTAGAAAGAGAGAGGGCTGGACAAGAAGCTCCCATTGAATTCACTCCTCAGCACTAAGCCCTTCATGTTTTTTTAAAACATTTATTTCTTATTATAATAGTTATTAATTGGTGTAAAAAACTAATAGTATGAGTATAAGAAAACAAAAAATGATCTATAATATTACTTATATTAATCACATCAGGCCTTAGTATGGCATATATAATGTATAATGTAATATATCTTATAACTGTGTTATATGTTAAATATAGTCATTAATATAATTAATATAATATACTAATTAAAATAAGTTATTAAATAAAATATGTAATATGGTATATATGTATAGTATATATAATTAATAGAATATATAAGATAGAATATAAAAGCCTGACATGTAAAATTATTATTTCTGACTCTATCTACTTTTCTGTTTTATTTTTATGTCACTTTTCAAAAAGATTTTGTTTTTCAGGTAATTAGAAACCTAAGTCTACATTTCTGGGTCAGATTTGGGAGGGTTTGCAAGTGGAGTGGAGATGGCATGTCACCCTCCTCACAAGTGTCCACACATTCCTTCACACGTGCACACTTACATAGAAGCACACACTTACACACGTGCACATGCTTCTGTTCCCTCTCTGCGGCCCAGACCGTTCACTCAAACATGCCCTTCATGTCACATCCTCAAAGTTAGTCTCAGGATTTTATTAATTGATATTACTAAATTAACATTTATTAATACAGGATTTATTAACTTATATTAAGTATAAAGTAAGTTTCCTTCCTCTTTCCCATTTCTCTGAATTCTAATGAAAACTGACACCAGCAGATCCAGGAAAGCGGCCACATTGGAGTGAGTCACCTTCAGGGACCCATCAATGCCTGGCCATCTCTCCCTCCCCAGAGCCCCCCAGCCTGCCTTCAGTCTCTCCCACCCCTCCCTGGCCTGCCTCTTCCTTTCCAGTGCCTCAGTCACTCTTCTCCCCGGAGGGCTGGGGCGGGTGCTCTGGACAAAGGCTGTCTCTCCACAGGTGGTAGGCGATGGACGTGAAAACAGTGAGCCAGGCCAGGAAGGGGAGCAGAAGCAGGGCGGCCAGCTTGTTGATGGGATGCCAGATGAGCGCCATGCTCACCACCAGCCCGTAGAGCAGCAGCAGGTGCAGCAGGGCCTGGGCAGGGGCAGGGTGGTCAGGCAGGCTGCCCTGAGACCCTGGCCGCGACCTTTCTGCTGCACCCTGGACCCCGAGCCACGCTCCTGGGGCTCTGTGCACTCTCCTGGAGCTCAATCTGCCCACCTGCCCTGCCGGGCCCTGACTGATCTGCTGTGCCACCTGCTTCTGGGGCCCGGTGGTCTCCCCGGATCCTGCATTACTCCCACTGCTGAGCACCACGCGTCTTACCAGACCAGGGGTACGGGCTACGAAAAAGAGAGTCAGGACGGTCCAGCTGATGACGAGCTGCACAGCGTAGAGGCCGAGAGGCAGGGCCAGGGGCCACCCAAAGCCCCGGCCCAGGTCCTTCCACACCAGGTAGGAGGCATAGCTGTGAAGAGATGGAGGCAGAAACGCTCAGAGGGAGGGTGTTCCATGGCAAATGGAGGAAGCCTCTGGCATAAGGACTCCTGGTGACAAAGAGAGAACCCTGTGGGCTGAAATGAGGGCAAGTGTGTCTAGGCATCATTGGAGGGCTGGGAGGAGTCAGTGGGGACAGTGGGCGTGGTGAGGTGGGGGGGATGTGGGGAGGCTTGGAGAGGGCTGGCTGGAGTCCTGGGCAGGCGTAGAGGGACCACCACAGAGGCAAGGTGGGGAGCCATCCCTCTGGAGGTCAGCATGCAGCAGTAGTTCAGGTATAGGAGGCTTGTTCCCACCCCAGTGGGTACCAAGGCCAAGGATGAGAACTGGAGCTCACCCTATGATAGAGTAGATGACTGTCCACACGAGCAGCAGGACTCTGTGGGGTGGGCACCAGGTCAGCTTCTTTGAGCCATTACACCAACCAGACAGCCTATGAGGGGCGAGGAGCCAGATCAGGATGGGCCCCAGGTGGGGCAGGGCCACAAAGATGGCCCCTTGAGGCCGCATTCTCCTCGAGGTGGAAAAATCTGGGGGCAAGAACATGCTGATGGTGAGCCTTCCCCTTGTCCTTTCCTCGAGTCCCTCCCTGTTCCCTCCTCTTGCCTGACCATTCACTGGCCTGTGTCCTCTCCCTCCGCCTGCCCCCACAGGAGGCCTAGACACAGAGGCTGCCTCCCTGCCTGGAGCCCCCCCCTTCCCTCTCCCCTGAGCCCCCCTCCCTTGCCCCTTTCCCGGTTTCCATGGATGTGTTTTTCCCACCCCTCTCATTTGGCACTCGGCCAATACTGCCTGGTATTAATAACTGCTTATGAGTTAACGGTTCCTCTCCTGTAACGTGTGTCTGAATCCTGGAACTCAGGTCCACCTATGACCATCTTTTGTACCTTCCACAGCAGGTGGCACTTGGCCAGGCCCTCGATGAGGACAGTGTCTTAGACTGAACTGAACCTAGCTGACATAGCCTATTTGAAAGGAACGTGCTTGAAAGGCAGGAGCCTGAGATCCCTGCGGGTCTTCTCTAGTCAACAGTGGGCCAGCCATCGGCCCAGGGCTTATCTTCCTACGGCAGACTGGCACCCGACAGGGGCCCACCCAGCCTGAGCTCCTGCCAGAATTCAACTCAGCTGAGTGGCACTGTGGACTCTTTCCTCTGAAGCCTTAGGTTGCATCTACCCCTTGGGGGCTGGGGAGGCTCTTCCTACATCGGTCCACTTCCAGAGGTTCGGTGTCACAACCCCCCACCCCCAGATTTCTGTGGCCTGACTTTTCAAGGAGGCAAACCCCTGATCTTTCATTAAGAAGCTGCGTGCTCCTTTGCAGTTTGCTGAGCGTGTCATTCCACGCGGGACAATGAACAGACTCTGCTCTGCCCATGGCCCCCACCCATATAGTTCTTCTCATTTGCACATAAGATGCCAGCCTCCCCCCATGAGCCACAGGATTGGAAGGAAAAAGCACGGTGGTTATTGTCAGCGTGCTGAGGTGACTGACTGCCTGCTCCGTCCGTGCTCTCCTGTCCCAGCCCCTGACCGCATCCTGGAGGTTCCAGGGACAGGGCTGAGCAGCCTGCCTGCCTGTGCATCCTTCTGTTCACCTGTTTCTGCTTCTCACTGTCCATTCATCTTCTGCCTCCCTGTCTTTCTATTTGGTGTTTTCTATTGTTCTGCCCAGTGTTGGAGGCCCCCGCCGCCCTCCCACCACCATCCTCTTGTCCTGTTTCCCCCTTGTTTCCAGGCCCATGTTCCCCTACCTCAGGCAGCTCACCTCCCAGCCTGGGTACCCGATGATATATGCCGCGGGAAAGGCAGAGGAGGG